CGCAAATTGGAGCTTCTATGGCCGGCTGGATCTTCTCTGGTGTACTATCCCTTTATTTCGGCCCATTTCTACTATTTTTCCAGCGATCCGCGGAGCCTGGTAGAGGCTACGTCTACGCTCTACGTAGAATTAAAACGGCCGATTACGCTCTACGGAAAAGGGCTTGCGGGCTCCCCTATGGGAGGACATGAGTCGGGAACGAGCGACCACCGCCCGAACAGGCGTAAACTCTCCGCCTTACGAGCCGGGTTCCCAGGAAACGGTCAAAGAAATTGTGATATACATATGAAATGCAACTGCAAGTCAATTCGAGGTTTGAAACCGTTTCCAGTGTGGATGCAAGTTTGAATCACGGATTCAAAATATATTCCGTTTCGATTCGGATCGTGGCTACCCTGGAAGCCAGAACTCGTTTTCCGGGCCGCAAGAGCCCTTCGCCCGCCGGTGTAAATTACCGCTACGGGGGAGTCTAGCCCGGGGGGAGTTTGGCTGGCCCTACGATCGTGGCCACTGAACAGGAACACATTTGAATCATGAACGAGGCATAATTGTAGAGGCTGGCTTACCTGCTTTCAAAGCTGCTTTGACGCCTCGGAGGCAGCCGTTGTTAACAGCTTCCATCAGAGCTTCATTCGCAGGTTTAGCCATGACGCCGCGCCTGGTGTTGTGATGCTGCGCGTGTGACAGAAGACTGACAGAAGCGTCAGGAGGATCTATTGTCTTGTCACGTGGTCTATTGCAGTGGGTGGGGCTTAGCCTTTACCAGGCTTCAGAGGCGGCTGAAGGGGGATCTCCAACTGCGGCAGAGGTGATGGTGGAAGATCGTTTGCTTTTTATATAATAATTTATATTTTTTGTCACTACCACCACCAAGCTTGGGTGGGGAAATGGTTACAGACTGGCCAATTTGATACTGTCTTACTCTTACCCCCACCAAAAGATCTGCTTGGAGACTAGCTGAAAGGTAATCTCCAAGCAGATCATACAAGTCAAGTAAAGTCAAGTCAAGTTTATTTATTTCACCAGGGCATACCTCAGATCTATTGATCTATTTTTCAGGTATCCCTGGTCACATACATTAAAACATACATTCATAAAAATTACTACACGTTAAGCGTTGAACACAACAATATACTGCAAGTAATGTTACAAACATGTCCATGTTCAACGCAGTCACAGTATAGGCAGATTTAGTTCATTCATTTTCCAGGTTCAGTCCTACAGTCTTCAGTCCTCTAGCTACAGTATCAGCCGCTGACCAGCAGCAAGACTGCATGGTCCACGGTATTCCACATGTGCTTTAGGGGTGTCCAGCATGTGAGGGTCGAAGCGGTAGAGCTGGTGGTTTCATAGCAGTGCGAGTACGAACTCTCAGCACTGGGGGTGACAGCCATTTGAACATTTGTGTCATGCAGGCACGTGCTTACATGACATACGTTGGCAAGGCAGTAGCCATTGGCCAGAGGAGTATCCATTCGCCACCGACACTCCTCTGGCCAATGGATACTGCTTTGCCACCGTATGATCTGCTTGGAATGTAGAAAAGCGGAGACAAAAGATACTTAGACATACATACATCAGGAACATACAAGGGTACTATTAATAATAGGCTAATACAAAGTGTTCTAGTCACTGAGCTAATACAGAGTGGTCAACTTCTTGCTTTTTTGTACAATGGAAAAGGTGGGAACAGATCATGTTTGTGATACAGGGTTTGTCTAGATGCATCAATACACGGTGGTAAAATCTGGGTTGCAAAGTTCCCACATGCCATAGAACCCGAACTGTGTTCGATCGTGTTCGATCTGGGCAATTCGAATCGAACCTGCGTTCTATTTCGGGGTCACCTGCGGTCATTTACAATAAAGCGGCAAAACAAGCCTGTCTGCCTCCGTGCCGTGCAACAGATAAAAAACAACACTTTTCTATAGATAAAAACAGTTTCCTGGACAGTACATGTCCGCTATCATTTTTGTGTGGACATGTAACATGTAGCGAAGCTACTGTCGTATCCTTGGGTGACCTTGAATACTGTAATGATTCTTTACACCAGTATGAATAACACAATGCAGACTTTTGGTCGACATGACATGTCTGCAAAACTCGTTTTAACCTGCAAGCATGGAAAGTCAAGCATACCCCATTCACGGCTCAAAATGACCGTTATGGTTGTCCCGAAAATCGTGTTTAAAAATGGCAATCTTTTTAAAAATGGCCTCAATTTTGAATTATGGGTTATTTAGTGCGAAAAATGTAAAGAAAAATCATTTTTTCACCAATATGTCGATAAAAACTAGACTTAAAATCAGAAATTAAAAAAATCCCTAAAACACGATTTTTGATCTTATTCCTAGTCGTCGAAAAATATAAAAATCGGGAATCTGGGGTAATATACGTAGCCAGGTTAAAACGATGTTTGCCTAAAAACATGACATGACTTGTGGTCGGAAATCCGAAAAAAATCGTCTTTCGGAGCGAAATTTTGAAAAATCAATGATTTAACATAAACAGCTAATATTGAAAGGATGTTAAGGCAACAATTTCATTTTAATTTGACGAAATTTACCATTAAATCCTTTTTGTTTATTTTCAGGTGTTTTACTGGTAGGCCAAACTCGGCCCAAATAGCGTCTTGTAATCCGATACCTTTTAGAACGCGCCTAGCAATGGGAAAGAATACCGTAGTGACAGACCGCCGTGATATATATATATCATTTGCATTTAATTGTTCAAAGTATGGGAACTTCTCTTTGATATGAATAAAAAGGACAAATCTTTCATTAGAATATAAAGTACAGTCTAAAATAAAGTGTTGTTCATCTTCTATTCTATATTATTCATGTCACAGTATTGACAGAGTCTATTCTGGAGAGGAATGCGGTTGTGCCTTCCGTTTCAATAAGCAATTTGTGTCAACTTATTCGGAGTTTAGTTTTAATTGACAGCCCACCATTGCCCGCTGCTGCATAAAGGGCCACATGACATCTGCTTGGTTCTCTACGATACGGACGCCCCCTTGCGGATCAGCAGTGTTGCGATGTCGACATGCCCGTTGATGGAGGCATGTAGGACAGGGACCAGTTAAGGAGATCCCATTGAAATCTATGCTAAAACCACTAGAAACAAACACTTTAAAACACATTTACTTTTATCTCAAACCTCAAGTCTTTACCACCACTGGAAAGCTGGATTTGTCAGGTGTCTTTTGTTACAAATAGTGGAAGTTCAACTCCTGCGTGATAATGAGCTACAGCTAAAATATTGAAATGAGACCAGGATTTCACCCCCTGGCAAAGTGGAACAGTCCACACAGATCTTTGTGTTTTAGAGGTCAATAACAGGTCAAACCATGGAAAAGGTCACACTTTTTTGCCATATTTTAAAAATATACATTCTTCTGTCCTTCTTACCAGAAAACTGGGCCTTTCTGAGCAAAATTTGTCCAGGACAAAAAATTATCTAAAAAATAAGTACCAAAATAAATCGTCGGTGTACACACTGCTAGTTCTGCGCATGCTGATTAGCTGGTCCCTCCCCTGTAACAGCGCCGTGATCTCATCATCATAGTCAACGTCTGCACTTGCGTTTGATTACAGTTTACTTTATTACATTATAAAACTGAATAGCACAAGAGATATTTTAGAGAGTACTAGTACCTAGCTTTGGTTAGAGACATCCTGTTGGATGGGATGATGCCGTGGTAAATACATGTTTAACAGTTTAACAGTTTTATTCAGAAAATCAGCCTCGCAGCATGTACGTACCAAGCTGAATAACTCTGATTTAGGCCGTGTCTATACGGAATCACCCAAACCGCGATTCGGGTAACTCACATTCCTCACATCTGGTCCACGTCCCACACACACCTGCTAAACCGTGTCCGAACATAATGCGCTTGAGCTACATTTATTGCTGTTTGATGATAACACGCAAGGCGGCGTGTTATTAATGTCAGAGGTCAACGACCTGCTTGCTGATGCCCCCCTCCCAGCGTATCTCGGCCGAATGCCGACGTGGTCCCGCCAGAGACGGTTAAGCTCGCCCTAGAACGGACACATTATTTGACCATTACTGCTCTTTAAGTTGCTGCCATGTAAAAGTTGGTATTGCATATAAAAAAAGAAATATCACTCCGTAATCCATGACCAGGCGAAGTCACATTGCGTTCAGACGCAAATCGCGATGCGGGGAAACCGATTCGAAAGCACCTCTAGAAGTGGCCTGGGATCGAGGCGCTTTCAATGTGATTTCGGAACGTTCAGATGGAGCCACTTGAAACCGGCTTCGGGGTAAACCACATTTAATTAAACCACGGTTTAATTTTTAAACTGCAGCAAAATGGAGTTGACGGTCCCTTACTAAACTGGATTCACAGTTATCTATGTGACCGGTCCCAGAGAGTTGTCATAGATGGACAGACTTCTCCCTGGTCCAAGATCGGCGCAGGTGTTCCCCAAGGCTCTGTGTTAGGACCATTACTGTTTATCATATATATACATTTCATTGTAAATAACTTAAATTCTTTACCCTTTTTATTTGCAGATGATAGCTCCCTACTTGACGTAGTTGATAACCCGACCGCATCTGCATATAGGCTTAACTCTGATTTGAGTAAAATTCTGTCTTGGTCCAAAAAATGGCTAATGGAACTAAATCCATCTAAAACTGAAGAGATGTCATTTTCTACTAAAAGATCCCCTATCACCCACCCTCCTCTTTATCTTGGGTCGTCTAAAATTAATTGTGTCGCACACCATAAACATATTGGAGTTATATTGACCACCAATATGTCTTCGCACAACCATATTATTCAGATGTTAGCCAAAATATCCAAACAGGTCACTGTACTTCGTGGTTTAAAGTTTAAATTACCTCGCAATGTTTTAGAAACCATTTATAAATCATTTGTCCGTCCCTGTTTGGAGTATGCAGATGTGATCTGGCATGGCTGTACTGCTGAAGACTCCGCTCTTGTTGAAAGAATCCAATATGAATGTTCTCTTATCGTCTCAGGAGCAGTTAAAGGCTCTTCTTACTTATCTGTTTGTCAAGAACTGGGTCTTTCTAGCAGACGGCATTTTCATCGCTTATTTTTATTTCATAAAATAGTCAATGGCCTAACACGGAGATATCTTTTTCACTTAATCCCCCCTGAAATTTCTCAAACCACTCTGTACAATTTAAGAAATAGTAACGACTTTCGTTACAATTTACTAATAGGTTTAGTAGATCTTTTATACCCTATTGTTTAAGTCATTGGAATGAACTGGACCTGGAAGTTCGTTCTTTACGATACTCCTTGTTCCGAAAACACCTTATTAGATTAGTACGCCCCCTTTGTCCCCCACATTACAATTGTGGCCCCCGCTACACCTGCGCCCTTCTTGTTAGGCTCCGCATCGGCACCTGTGCTCTCAATCACAGTTTGTTTACCCGAGGACTCTCTATCAGTGTCTCTTGTAGATGCGGGTGTCGTTGCGAATCTGTCATGCACTTCATGCTACATTGTCCATTATACAATAATGAGAGATCGGAACTTTTTGGCAATCTTGCAGATTTACTTGGTCATCTTGTCAACCTTAATAATATGTCAGATAATGCTAAACTGCACTTTATTCTTAGAGGCTCCTCATTGTTACCCTCTATGTACAACTTTAAAACGATGCAACTCACTCAGGTTTACATTGGAGATACCAAGCGCTTCTAGCTCTGCTTGACTGTTTTTAACAGTCAATTAGATATAGAAGTCCAAATACTACGTAAGTGTTAATGGGCCTAAATTCTCCTCCTAGCTCTGATTGGCGGATGTTTTTCCGCCAATGAGATATAGGAGGTTACCATGTAATCTTATCTTTCAAATAGCTCTGTTAGCATTTAATTTAATATTTTAATGTCTTGGGGTGGTGGGACTACGGCGCACATGTCAACTTTGTATTAAATATTAATTGTACCTTTTTTGTGTGTGGCGCTGTTAATATAAGTTGTTAACTTGAGTGCAGCGTCACACTGTCCTTGTTATGTCTGTATGTTTTGATGAATAAAAAAAAAAAACACATGTAAACCGCCTTGGGTGATTCCGTTTAGACACGGCCTTATACAATCGTTGTATGGCACATGCAAAAAAAAATTACATTACAATGCATGACGAATAAACACACATAGTTATACATGTACATGTATAAAATGTCTCGCAATGTCAATGAGCACTAAGGCCCATATAAACTATGCATAGCTTTTCCCGATGTTTCCACTATGTGCCGCTGTCGGGACGGCTCTATACATATCGCCAGGAAATATGGCTGAACACCCGTGGCGCTTGGATTACGTAGACCGGCTAAAAGTCTAACTGTACAACAAGAAGTCTTGTTACCTCCATGAAAAATACAGGTATTGTTTTTGGTATGTCTGTCTGTCTGTATGTATGTCTGTCTGTGTGTGTGTGTTTGTCTGTCTGTCTGTGTGTGTTTCCGAAACTTTGTGGTCAGCATAACTTCAGAACGCCTTTATGGATTATGATGATATTTGGTATGTTGGTAAGTCTTAGGAAGACAAACGTCAAGGTCAAATATGGGCCTCCTGGTGGATGACCGTGGTACTGCAGCAGAACTTCCGGTTTTTGTATCTTTTGTCCTGAAAATGCTATGGTCTTGATGTTTTGGTGACAGATTGCTTTTCCTGTCAGAAATAAGTGGTGTCCCCCTAGCAGCTTGTTCTGGAACTGCAGGGCACTTTCTGGCGAAATGTTTAAAAGCCAATAAGTTCAGATAGGAACAACATATTTTCATAATTTTTGGTGTGTAGGTAGCTGAGAGAGAGATGTACATACATGATTAAATGCAAATTATGCAAATGAGGACTTAATTTGCATAATTAATGAGGAAATTCTATAATTACAGTGTTTTACATCATACTACTTTCATACATGTAATGTATGTAACCTATGGCAGGCAGAACATAACAGATACTAGTAGTTATTGTGATGCGAGATTAACTAGAACACAAGGCAAAGTGGCCCACAACAGTCGTGCTAGAGTTTCCTTTTCAGTCCGAGTTTGTATGTAAATTTTCTGCACAGTTGGTGAAAGATCAAAAGGTGTCGCTAGTGCGCTGTACTTCACACTTCTGCGCGAGTCATGATCTGCTGATCTCGCCCTGTTTTCAAATTTAATCGGATTGGAAAGACGAGAAAAAAAAGTTACCTGACGATGTATGCAAACTGCAAATGAAAACAGCATGCAGCACTTATAAACTACTGAAATATTTACGTACTGCAAAATTATACAAGGAAGAAATCATGCAAGTTCTCTCCATGCAGAAGGTGGTGGAGATTTGTGGCATTGCTGTTATTCGCTCAGTTTTATGTCGCTATGCTCCACTTGCCAGAAAAGATTAGAATGGACACAATCGTCTTCCTCAACCTCTGCTTGAAGAGACTGTTACGCGAGGCACGAGGCATCTGTTTTAGATTGCAAACAGTTCCGGGAGAAAACAAGGCTGGTGTTAAAATCTTGATTGAACGGGGAAAAAAACAACAGTAGTTTTACTTTGGAATATAATTCCTGCAATAGCAATAGTTAAATTGGTTCGGCACCTGGTTGTAAGGGAATGTGTGGTCTCTACTAGACTTAAAATGAAATACCTTTATGAATTTGTACATTCATGCCACGACGGGCTAGGTACAGGTCAAGATATAAGATATAACAGACACATACCAAACATATATAGAAAAGTGGAGACAAAAGATGCACTACTTGACTTAGACATAGTACATAAGGAACATACACAGCTCACATGGAGTTCTACGGTACCTCCCCCTCCATGGCGCTTCAAAACATCTTGCCAAGTGGTGGTAGACCAAGGTGAAGCTAGCCGGCGTTTCAGCCTTCGATTCGTAGCCGGCGTTACAGCCGGCGTTTCGCCGCTAGATGGAACATAGCAGCTGATTCGGTTACCGATTCGAAAACACAAAAAATCGGTAATGTAGCCAAAAAATATGGCAGATGAACTTGAAAAAAGCGTTATGATAGCTTAGTACATCACAAGTCTACTACAAGTTTCAGATTGTACCTGCAGGATTTAATTAGGCCGTTGACAGCGGGCCTAATTAGGCATAAGAGATATGTGTACTCAGCAGTTATATCTGCACCAAACTGAACGTGGCCTTTACAGACGGATTACGGTAGTCAACAACCAAGACTATATACACTAAAAGTATCAAGTTCAATGGGTCGGATTTGATTAAGGAGAGGCGAAGAACCCAGTTCTAGGGTGCGTCCCGCTATTTTGCACTCGGAAGGGCGGAGCAACATCTGCATGGCGGAAGCGTGGTCAGGCTTGGGCCAATGACGCGTCTGGGTCACTGCTCTCACCTCGTGACCCCAGACCGTCTAACGCAGTGACTTTGGTTCAAGTACCAGCAAAATAAAAGACAAACTATATACAGTAGCACATTTCTGGCAACCCAAAGTCATAAATGACGAAAGTCATCGATCTCTTCTTTTCTCATGTTTCCATCCCCTTTCTGCAGGCTAAGACCACTCAGGTCTCTCATTATTCCCACTTAACTGCTGAAATAACCAAAACTTGACCAAAGTAGGAACGTTCAGACTCTATCCGTCCCTCCTAGCCCCAAAGTCTCCAAACTGAACCAAAGATATTGCAATCCCATTTTGGCCCTTCCCTCGTTCCAGTTCAAGAAACTACGTTCGCCTCAGGGCCCTTGCCATTGTCCCCACAACAGAGCAAGTCAGTCACGATTTCCGCACTATGCTCTTCGTGCTTCGTGAGAGAATGTTCATGAGGAAATAACTTGACACAAAATATAAGCCAAACCTTGCAGTACGTAGCACATAAGTGAAGGAAATGGCGGGAGTAAGAAGTCTTTTCCGCGTTGTTCTGGGTTTTCTGTGTGTCTTGGAAAGTCGTGGACAGACAGGTAAGATGTTACTGTTTTCTGGTGGTACATGTAGAATGAAATGTAGCTATAACGTTACTGTTTTGTTCGTTTGTTTGAACCATTCTTTATATATTCAACAAAGGCTATAAGAATCATTACGCTATGAGCCAGAGAAAACCTGCCATACATACTGTAATACATTCAACTCGGAAATACATTTCCCTTTCGAACTAAGTAAGATTATCTAGGAATTCGCGAAAACCTTTAGTGTACAAATATACCCATCGGGTGAAGTACAGGTCACAACAAAACAAAACAATAGTAATGACTGTATACAGATAATGTTACATACATTGTCAAGAAACTACATGTACAACTAATTCAGTTCGACTTCTCGCTTCACCAAGAAGGATGTGTTTTCGGTCCCATTTGTTTGTGTATGTATGTGCGAACACAGGTGACACTCGAGTTAGGATAGAGTCATGTTACTGTCGTCCGGTGGTAGAATGGAATGTACTGTAAATCCTGAAATGTTCGTGGTGGTTTTATTTTCGCAGTTCCATCGCTAGTTCTTCAGTCTTGTTCAGTCACATCTAACGGAGAACGATAACGTAACGCGGCGATAACGATGGCGCAACGCGGTAACCTCAGACCACGCGAATGCGTGAGAGCGTACCCTGCTACAGAGTGAGTCATCGCGCGATTGACGCTACTATAATGAGCTGTACAGGGTTTAATGATTTTTTCTACTTTGTAGAAAAGTTTAGAAACAATACTGGGTGTTATGGCTTCCTATCAGCAGTCACAGACATGCATGAGCGGTAGAACTGGAAGGCAGGGATTACTAGTAACATGTACATGTACGTAGCACTAGTAAAGCCTGGTAACCTGAGTCTATCCACGGCGGTCTGTTACTACGGTATTCTTTCCCATTGCTGGGGGCGTTCGATAAAGTATCGGGTTACAAGACGCAAATTTGGGCTAACCGCAATACATTTGAAAATAAACAAACTAGTATCAAAGGGAAAATTTCGTTGAAATAAAATAAAATTATTGTCTTTACATGCATTCAATGGTGATTTTTTGCGCTAAATGGATGATTTTTTCGTATTTTGTTTAAAAAAGTCGATAATTTTCGGGATTTCGCAACGCCATATTTTAGCCAATCCCCGAGCAAACCTGGCTACACATATGACGCAAGATCACTGATTTTTATCTTTTTCGACGACTAAGAATAAGATGAAAAATCGTGCTTTAGGGATTTTTTTAATTTCTGACTTTAAGTATAGTTTTTGACGACAAATTGGTGAAAAAATCGAATTTTTTGGCTTTTTTCGCACTCAATTACCCATAATTCAAAATCGAGGGCATTTTTCAAAAATCCCTAAAGCACGATTTTCGGGACAACCATGACAGTCATTTTGAGCCGTAAATGGGGTATGTTTGACTCTCCATGTTTCCAGGTTTGAACGAGTTTTGCAGACATGTCATATCGCCCGAAAGTGTGCATTGTGTTATTCATACAAGCGTAAAGAATCATTACAGTATTCAAGGTCACCCAAGGTTACGACAGTAGCTTCGCTACATGTTACATACCCACCAAAAATTATAGCGGACATGTACTGTCTAGGAAACTGTCTGTATCTATAGAAAAGTGTTGTTTTTTATCTGTTGCGAGGCACTCAGGTAGACGGGCTTGTTTTGCCGCTTTATTGTAAATGACCGCGGGTGACCCCGAAATGGAACACGGGTTCGATTCGAATTGCCCAGATCGAACACGATCGAACACTGTTCGGGTTCTATGAAATGTGGGAACTTTGCAGCCCAGATTTGACCACCGTGATCGTGGGCTTGCCAGGCAAGCCTGTGGTCAGCCGCCCGGTTCAAGTGCTGCATTCTACCGATTGTAAAAATCTTCTTAGCAGAGGTTATTGACAGGCTGTGCCTGTTCATTAGAATTTTTCTCACTACTGACAAGATGTTTTGCAAGGTGATCACTCAACCGACATAACTAACACCTGTTCACAAAAGCGATGTTGCTGATTCAAAGTTACTCCTGCATTCCTATTAGGAACTCACTTTTCTGCACTATTCACGGAATGTGCCTGTCAACAGCACTTGACACATTTTAACGTCAAATGATAAACCCATGACAATGACGCTGAACTGTTGTTTATACGGGCTGGGACGGGTGGCAGTGCGATGCGGCACCTGGCACGGACGTACAATGTATGTTTACTGGTAAACCCATATGCAGTCACTCATGCACTTAATTCTCTCGTTCAAATACATATTAAAGGAGTCTTAACCCTATCTAGACCGGGCTTTTGGGGGCTTCGTTAGACGGGGATGTTGGGTGGGGGTTGGGGGCTCATTCGCCCCCCCCCCAGAATTCGTGAACGATATATCGTATGGCCACCAAATTTTCAGAGGATGGTGTGCTAGTAAAATTGAATCCTAATATATATATGTAATATGTAAGATGTACAACTATCACACTAATAGCGCGCCGAAATGCCAGCTTTTTACCTCCATGAAAATGGAGGTATTGTTTTTGGCGTGTCTGTCTGTCTGAGTGTCTGTGTGTCTGTCTGTGTGTGTTTCCGCAACTTTGTAGTCAGCATAACTTCAGAACGCCTTTATGGATTGTGATGATATTTGGTATGATGGTAAGGTAGCAGAACACAGTATTCCTCCGCGACCCCCGATGACGTAGGGATAAGAAATGAGTGCGACAAACAGCTTGCACCGCTTGTACACAGCCTAACGTGGATGACACCGGGACATACAAGTTACCGTATGGTACCATAATATGTCGGCTTTGATATCGCATAATTGAGATTAGGAAGGCTGCTCGATCGGCGCGTGACCTTTTCGCTGCCTGCCATGGTGAGTCGGCTGCAGTTCCGGTGCGCTCCGCAGGGGGCCATTTAAAAGAGGGCGGCATAATGTAAAAAAAAACGATAACTTTTTGTACTTTTTTTGTTATTTTGTACATCGTACCCTATATTTGAACATATTCGTTTCTCGTGCTTTTCTATGGTACCCTACTGTATTTTTATTCGAGTCGATGTCAGTCACTTCCGGGTCCTTAACTATAGAAATCCCCATAGGCGAAAAACTGTGTTCTGCTAAGTCTTGGAAAGACAAAGGTCAAGGTCAAGTATTGGCCTCCTGGTGGATGACTTTGGTACTGCAGCAGAACTTCCGGTTTTTGTATCTTTTGTCCTGAACAAGCTATGGTCTTGACTTTTTGGTGACAGATAGCTTATTCTATCAGGAATAAGTGGCGTAACTTTGGTCTCCCTAGCAGCTTGTTCTGGAACTGCAGGTTAGTTTCTGGTAAAAACTTTCAAAGCCAATAAGTCCAGATTGGAGCTACGTATTTTCATCATTTTTGGTGTGTAGGTACCTGAAAGACAGTTGTACATGATTAAATGCAAATAATGCAAATGAGGACTTTTTTATAATAATGAGGAAATTCTATAATTACAGTGTTTCATATAATGGTACTGCTATACATGTAATCTATTTAATCTGTGGCAGGCCGAACATCAACAGATACCAATTATGCAAATGATGATCTAATTTGCATAATTAATGGCAAAATTCTGTGAATCCTTATTGGTGAATGATGGGAATTTTATACCTCGTCACATGTGTAAGTTACTTAAAGGTTTGCATCGCTATGCATATATTATGTTAATGTAGAGGCTATTTGAGGACAAAGCAAGCCCATATTTCATGGAGGTATGAGATATCGGAACTCTTGTTGTAAAAGCACTTGTTTCATCCGTTATGCAAATTGTCCAAACACACACACACACATACACACGCACAAACACAAATACACATACACACACACGAACGTTCGAACATTATTGAAAACATAACATTCATAGCGAAAGTAACTAGACAAGACGATAATTAGGAGGCGAAGTGCATCTATAGAGGCATACTGGCCAGTGGCCGCTATACAGTTGTGTACTATTTGCCTTCGACAAGAAGGCTGTGAAATCGTTTTGGCACTGTTTGGCAGATTATGCACGATAAATTTTGGTCCGAGGTTCACGATTTTTAGCAGGCAGGTTGTCTTAGTGATGGTCATTGTCAAGGTCAAAAATGGGCTGCGTGGGATATTCTTACGTGAATGGAGTTGACCTTTTGTGTTTGTGTTATGCAGTATGAGCTAAAATTTAGCATGAAGGTAGAATACCCTCAGACAGTCTTTTCATTTTATGGAAACTTTATAAAATTATTGTTTTATTTGGATTTTCTGGCCATTTTTAGGCAAAAAATACATTTTTGGATCTGGAGCCCTGTAGTTACTTAAGATCCGAATGAGCTGAAATTCGGTATGGAGATACCTTGGACACATGTCCAAAAATGTATACGGCAGATCAGGCCAATTTTATGGTAATTCATTAACCTGTCACCTCAGTAATTGTACTACTATCTATCTGTGTCAGGATGCCCTACAGTTGTCCTATACGGCGGATCCGACACTCTGCAGGCCGGTATGATGACGTCCTACACCATGACGGGAGACGCCCACGGTGACCGGCCCGTGTACTACAGCAGCGTCACCTGCAACTACCTGTATTACTTCAAGCCTACCATGGAGTGGCGCGTGGGACTGCAGGTCGGGAACGACGATGGTGTGCGTGTCAGGGACTCCGCCCTCTACGCTGACCAGATCAACGGGACGTTCCTTCTGTGGAACGGCGGGGAGTGGATAGAGAACCCGGATGTGAAGATCGCCTGCTCTGGTTAGTAGCAGCTACCATATCTGATGACCACATGCAAATGCATCCGACAAAGTCTGATCCCAACATTTATGTGTTAATATGTAAAATGTCGCTTTTTTCATAAAAAAGAGAAACATGAAACGATCCAACCGTACGATATCAATTTCAAATCCTGGTTGCCTAGAATATATGAATATATAATATGCCAAATATTCTGAATACCCTATTAGCATATAGGTTATACGTTTTATCTTTTATATACTATGTAACATTATCCTATCATTGTTAAGTTATATCAATGTAATTTTTGTAATTTTAACATAAAATCTGTATACGTTTAGTGTATTTAAGCGATGTTATATACATGCTGAGCAATACATTTACTTGTGTGTTCACTAGTTATTGTACATATATAAAAGCGGCTTATTTCAGCCTCTAGGCTGTAAAAAAAGCTTTCAATTTACTGTAGTATGTATGTCTTTGCAAGAATAAACCAGTCATATATAGAACCTTTTGCAACATTCCGTTTAAGCTTACAATCTCGGCTAAATAAAGTCTGCATCTTTATCCTTATTCGTGCCAGATGACGTCCCAGCTGGCGTGGCAGTTTCACAATCGGTAGGGAGCGCTATAGACTGTATGAGGTTCCGTCTGCACGGAGATGCCATCTACCTTGCTATCCTTATGACGTTCTTCCAGACGACGACCCTCGAATTCACCAGAACAGACCAGACCAGTGGCGGCAGACCTGTCTACGTTTGGGACACAGACAGCCGATATTCTCTCCACTTCGTCGAACGCGAGAAGCAATGGATAGGTCTCACGACCGGAGAACACCGCGTTTATGTCAAGAACTGCGCCATGACACCTGACCAGATCAGGTCACCGTGGTACCTGAGGGACGAGTATGGTGTGTATCATGTCGTGTGGTCGGTTACTGCCAGCTGTGTCGGTAAGTACTTTGTATCATATAACTTTGTAACATTTACCTTCGCTAGGAGGTTATGTTTTCGATAGGGTTCATGCGTATTTGTCCGTGTGTCTGTAAACGCCACAGTAACTTGAAAAGGCTTTGATGGATTGTTTTGATATTTGGACCCCATGGTTTTGATATCGCGTGATCTGGATATGCCAGGGTCACGAATGTTGAATCTGTATCTGTATAGCCGGTATAACCTCCCTTCGCACGCGACGCGGCGGCAGCTGGCTACATTGCACCGATCGGCTTGTTACATACACCTAACCCTTAAACATCTAACTCTAGACATTGTTTAAAGCTATCTAATGACAATGCCCCTGCTGTTCTTGGTGACAGCGAGTTCCACTCTGCGATAGTTCTAGGAAAGAATGAATTCTTGAACACCTCAATCCTTGGTTGATAACTCTGGTACTTGAAGGCATGGCTATATTTTGTTCTCTTCTGGGCTGGTATTAGGTACTTAGTAGGCAGATAGCTTTTTGCTCCTGAAAAAGCGTTGTGAGTTTGGTCCCCCTAACATCTTTTTCTGGAACTGCAGGTGCGTCTATTGAAAAGAACCAGTTTGCAGATCGTTTTCTCGCGTAGTATTTTTTGTGTTTTTTTTTCACAAAATGTGGTAACGACACACTCATTTTTTTCAACTTATAATAATGCCGTCACCAACACAGGGGACAATACAATACTAATTTTATACCTGAGTGAAGTGAGGAAAGTCGAATAAAGTGCCAAGGGCACAAGATCGGGGGCATGTCAGGACTCGAACCCGGGACCTCTCTGTTCCGAGTCGAGCACTCTGCCGCTACGACAGACGACCCCACGATTTATAGTATTTGTGAGTATCCTTTCCTGACTAGAAGAACTTAGGATCTTTTACGAACAGCCTGCTCAGAGTTACCGTTTCCAACCAACGGCAACAGGACAGAAGGTCATTTTCATGGAGACACAGTCAATTTTTCCTGTAAGAAAGGCTACGAACTGATCGGTTCTGAGAACAGAACTTGCCAGACCAACCAGAGCTGGTCCGGTGTGCAGCCCATTTGCTCCAGTAGGTAGCAGCTTTAACATTATTTTATTGTAATTGTGTATTGGAATTGATAATCAGAAAGCAGTTACTCAAGCAAATGGATATGATTTTGGAAACGGTCAGATCGATGTCAAGACAAGGATACATGTATGTCTTGAAAATGTCTCTTAGAGTCACTGAAGAAAGGTATACCTGAAACGTCTGACCGTTTCCTAAAATCATATCCAGTTGCTTGAGTAACTGATTTTTGGCGTATCATATCACCTGGATGTCTACCCTTCACGGACAAATTGATAATCAGTTTGCAATATACAGTACAATATGTTTGAACTACGTCTTTGTCGTGATTTATATATCGCAATGATGGTGACAAAAATATCTGCAAGTATCCTGTCATGGAAATCAATTTACACATTCTAGTATCAATTTGTTGCTATCATCATTGTACAATAATTATAAAATATGTTCATTGCCCTGACGCCTGTGTTACAGGAAAACTCTGCCAACAACTGATGGCACCTTCAAATGGCAACATCTACGGCGGTAGCTCTTATGGGGACGTCGTTACGTATCACTGTGACGCTGGATACGAGATCAGTGGCGATGAAAAACGAACTTGCCAGTCGGACCAGACCTGGAGCGGCACTCAGCCTACATGCGTCCGTGGGTGGTTTCCTTAAGTTTGTTTTCCTTGAAACTCTCGTCTATTTTTTTAGATGTTTCCAAAATGAAGTATAGTTGCAAAGTGTCGATGAAGGTTAGACGTATTGGCGCATAGTTGCAAAGTTTTTACAGACTCTTACAACTTATTTAAATTGTGTCTATGAGACTACGTAAAATAGAAACGAGAATTCGGAGATCTCATACCTCCATGAAATATATGAGTTTTGTAAATGTTTTTCTTTATTTGTCTCATTGACTATGGAAATAAGGTCGTAATTAGCATAATCTAGTTTAATTTACGGTTTTCTAAATTCAAATGACAATATTTTCGAGTAAAATCCCTCTCCTTACTTGATTTCATTTCAATATGACCTCATTGATTATGCAAATGACCATCACATAATACTCATGATACGTATATACACCTGTCTGGTCTCGCAGTCGAATAGTCGGACGCTCTACCAATACGCCAGGCCAGAGTGACTCGTCGAAAGCTTTGGGTGATAACATTTCTTTGTGATTTAACAGAATGTTTTGGCTTTAAACACATGAATTTATGTATTTCCAGCATCTTATTCATCTGAAACATCGGGGCTGTCCACCTTACACGTGGTGATGATTGCCGTGGTGCCATCTGTGGTACTGCTTGTACTGGGAGTGGTAGCGGGCATTCTTGGTTACCGGTGGAGCAGAAAGAGGCAAAACGACGACCTTCAATTGGAAGAGTTTGACTTTCATCCCGATATTCTAGGTATATTACATCGTAATATATACTGGTGTATTACTATTATTCGATTCGGTATCAATGGCAATGCGCAAAAACTAATAGTCATTCTACATTACAAACAGGACGCACTTATAAATCAATTAATAAGTTGCGTTGCTAAAAGCTTTCCTGACTTCACCTATTCTGTAAGTATTTCATTAATACAAATGCATATGTTTTGTATTCAACAAGACAGAAAAAGTGGGTATATCGATTATGAATACTGTTGTATTACACTGTGAGCCCTATTGAAGACACTAATGATGTTGTGTCACTGCTTTTGTTCCCAGATGAAAAATTAACAGATTTGCACAAACCATCATCCCTACCTCCCCCACCTGTGCCGGCTCGGCCACAGTTCCTGGAGTACGAGGTAAACCCGACTGATCTGAGACTGAATGAAGAGATCGGCAGAGGGGCATTCGGCATCGCCTTCCTCGCGACTTTAAAGAGAGCTGTTGATGGTCTTCTCACGGAACAAACAGTGGTGGCCAAAACTGTCCGTGGTAAGTCAACGTCAGCTGGTTATTAAGATACTATATCTTCACTAACGCTAGGAGCTTCGTTGATTTATTTTTCCACACGTCTTTAACGGCTGAAAGCATGGCACACAGAAAGTTAGCCTTTGATATGATCTGGCCCAAATGCAAACAAGCACTCTACCCCCTGAGCAATTGCACCGGTTAAGCTTCAACAATAAAAGGTTTTTGTTAAATTTGCAGAGAACGCGAGAGAAGAGGAGATACAGAATTTTATACAAGAGGTGGACACCACCATCACCCTGAGGCAGCACATCAACCTGCTCGGTCTGATTGGCTGTTGCACACTGTCCCACCCTCCCTACCTGGTGACGGAGTACATGCCGTATGGAGACCTTAAGAACTTCCTACTCAAGTGCAGGAAAGTAAATGTATATACCCATCCTTTTATAGCCACGTATCTTTAATGTAGATATCTTTAAATTTGTTCTTCTTCTGCCAGTAATGGTTAAACTATCAGAAAGCTGCCTGCTCTATTTCGTTTATGTTTGATGAATAATCATGGTGTGCAACTGAATTCGAAGTTTAAAAAACTACGTTTAAAGTTATATGCCAAATTTGTTGTTATCGGCCAATCTTTTCAACATAACAACGTGTGTGTATGGCTCGATAGATATACATGAAGAAACTGTTGGCCCATTTTACTTAATGTATTTCATTGTTTTGCTTGCTATGCAACCCTCAAGCAATCATTTGCGATTTCGCAGTTACCAAAAGCTAGTGTCTGAAAATTAAATGCCCCTTTTTTGGTGCGTATGGTATGTCGGCCATTATAATACTAGTACCTAATGATGAAGCCAAGTTATATTCTGCTGACTCTTTTCATGTAAATCTACAGTTGAATGAGAGGCTCCAAGACAGCTTGTATGACTTCGACGAGATGAAGATCTACCAGGTAGCACGGCAGATAGCAAACGGAATGGTAAGCAGACAATCCACACACAATATGGTTACTAAGGATACACGCATGTATACTGTATCTATAAGACACAGCCTTGTAAACAGAATGAGCTAATAAAATTCATATATTAAATGCCTGGATGCTGAATTCTATCATGGACTGTAAACGCACATTCTCATTCCATACTATACACTTTATAGTTAAGATTGTTTGTTATATAGCAATACATGCAATATATATAGCTATATTACCTTTTAAGTTGTATAATTGTTGTGCGATGGAGTTTATATGTTTATTGAGGTAGACCATCGTTACTGGTCGAAAGCTCTAGTTGAGATAATTTCATTAATTGTGTTGCAATTGGATCAAATGTTTTAAATTTAAACATGTAACTACCAACACAGATGAACTTCTAAGTGTATTTGTTTGTTGACCACGTTCATACACGTATCTTCATTCATACAATGGCATGTAGTTTGCACTTTTTAAATTGTACCTTTTCTGACTTTCTCTCTCGAATCAGACTTACATTTCCCAGGCTGGTTACGTGCACGGTGATCTTGCCGCCCGGAACGTGCTGGTAGGAGAGGACCTGGTGGTGAAGATCGCAGACTTCGGCCTGACAACAGATATCTACGAGCGAGGCTACCAGCGGCAGGACGCGGAGCAGAAGATCCCGGTGAGGTGGATGGCACCGGAGAGGCTGCTGCGAGAGGGCCGGTACACAAGCAAGAGTGACGTGTGAGTACAATTACTGCTCGGGTTTGTCCTAGATTTAGGTCCCTACCGTATACATATATATAGTCGGGCAACAAAACTGTGCTATAAACCATTGTGTGGAATGTCATTTTTGGTTATCTGTAATGTTGTAATCCTATATCTTTTTTTAAACTTGTGCCCTTTTCTGGAAGACTTAAGCTGTCATTTAGTCATAGGTAGACAGTTGAGGGAGAGGTTATAAACTCCAGTCGTCACATGATAGCCATAAAACCATTACTGCACTGAATCTTTGTGAGCATATAACCTTCCTTGCATTCTATCAATTACAGAAGAAGTAATGCTTTGCAACCGTAGGACCAAGTGCATCTGCACTGAGTCTCGCTTTAGCATGTTTTTGGTACAGCTCCCGCTCGAAACAAACATGAAAGTATGCGCCATCCCTCTCTGTCCTCCATCAGACACCTACTTCAGTTAAGCTGGTGTGTGATGTGAGGATACTACAATGTCAGAATGTCTGACGCAGTGTGCAGCTAGTTTCAACAATCTGCCTGTTTTGATTTTCTCTGTAATGGCAGGCAAATTCTGATATGGTACATGTTTTTGCATAATTCATGATCAAATCTAATTTTCACGCCCAGTTGGTCCTTCGGTGTGGTGCTGTACGAAATCGCTACGCTTGGGAACGTGCCCTATCCTGGTCGGGAACGCACGCTCCTGGAGGAACTCCGCACAGGGTACCGCGAACCACGCCCGCCTGGCATCAAACAAGAACTGTACGTGAAGGAGAATATTGTTTTGTTATTTCAATAATAATTTCAACAATAATGAGTTATGAAAGAAAAACCAAAAACTAATTTAAAGACAAATGGTAAAGCCTGTGTTCGGAGACTACAAGTTGAATAAATTTTAGTAGTGTACTAAGTGATGTACATATATTTATAACTATAGTTACTCTTTTTCATGCAACATGGTGGTGACAACAACCCTGTGTCTTTGGTGTACTCCATTTACAAAATTATAACATTGTCAATCACCGATGACTTACACATATACATGTAAATAACCAATAGGTACGACATGATGCTGCGGTGCTGGCAATGGGAGGAAGACGACCGTCCGGAGTTTGAGGAGCTTTACGATGAGCTGGACGCTGTGGTAGAATTGATGGCCAAGGATTACGTCAAACCCGGTTCCGGCTCCCCAGTGGGGGTTCAGAATGAGGCAGCAGAAGCTCTTGAAACCTCGTACGACGTCCCAAAGTCGGGCCGAATGGGGATGCAACTCCGCGTCACTGCAGACGTCTACAACAGCGAAGATCGTGATGAAGTCGACTCACTCGCGTCCTCCAATGCAGAAGCCAGTTCCACGCCAATAGAGAAGGATGACAAAGATATCCATACAGCAGTTAACAAGTGCAAGGCCACACAGCAAGACACCGTCTCGGAAAGTGAAGACCAAGACCAACTACAAGTGGAATCCTCCATCCCACCGGGTGCAGTAATTATGGATGCCAACGACAGTTCCACCGACTCCGAGCTGCCAGAGCCAACAAATATGCAGAAAAATGAAACCCCGGCTACAATTGAGGACAACACCGGTGATGCTGAAGAAGAAATGCTTCCAACAACAGACGAAAGTGTGCATTATTTCTAATGGCTTATTTTTACAAAAGTCAGTTCTATCTACAGGATGTATTACTGTTTTGTGAAGGCATTTATTAACAATAGAAAAGGAATGTTTATCCAGAGTTTGAATATTGTGCTGTTCATATTGAACAGCTGGTTACATTTTCTCGTTGTAAGCTAGTTTGAATGATTAATTGAAGTCTATTAATCAGTGTTTAATGCTAGTCGTGGTTAATTATGTGGTGAATATTTCGGTTTCAAAGTATTTTAGTGTTGTGAATTAAGAAGCGTGCTATTTCAAATCAGATATAACATATAGGCCATTGTATTAATTTCAATTTTAACTTTTTTATCATCTTATGTAGACATTTCTTTCTGTATTTTATCCAAGAGTTTTGTCTTCTAATGGGACTTTCTAGGCTGTCGGATCTTTCTGTTGATGTTTGGTCCACTATGTTTTACAAAGTCTGAATTTGCATAATTTGATGTTTTCTTTTCCAATAGTTTAAGGTTAGATGTCACGGAGCCATGTAAGAAATAGAGCCTGTGCACAGAAGTAGTCCACGTGTCTTCAGGATAGTGCTTCTTTTCTCGGTGGTAAAAATTGGGCTGCAAAGTTCCCACATTTCATACAATCCGAACAGTGTTCGATCGTGTTCGATCTGGGTAATTCGAATCGAACCCGCGTTCCATTTCGGGGTCACCTGCGGTCATTTGCAATAAAGCGGCAAAACAAGCCTTTCTGCCTGAGTGACTCGCAACAGATAAAAAACAACACTTTTCTATAGATACAAACAGTTTCCATGACAGTACATGTCCGCTATCATTTTTTGTGGACATGTAACATGTAGCCAAGCTACTGTCGTATCCTTGGGTGACCTTGAATACTGTAATGAATACGCCTTTATGAATAACACGGTGCTCACTTTTGGGAGATATGACATGTCTGCAAAACTCGTTCAAACCTGAAAGCATGGAGAGTCCAACCTACCTCATTGACGACTCAAAATGACTGTAACGGCTTTCCCGACAATCGTGCTTTTGGGATTTTTCAAAAATGCGATTGATTTCGAATTATGGGTAATTGAGTGCGAAAAAAAGCAAAAAAAAAAACGATTTTTTCACCAATTTGTCGACAAAAACTATACTTAAAGTCAGAAATTAAAAAAAATCCCAAAAGCACGATTTTTCGTCTTATTCCTGGTCGTCGAAAAATATAAAAATCAGTGATCTTGCGTAATATGTGTAGCCAGGTTTGTTCGGTGATTGGCTAAAATATGGCGCTGCGAAGTCTCGAAAATTATCGACTTTTTAAACGAAATACGAAAAAATAATCCATTTAGCGCAAAAAATCACCATTGAATGTATGTAAAGACAATAATTTTATTTTATTTCAACAAAATCTTGCCTTCGATACTAGTTTGTTCATTTTCAAATATTTTACGGTTAGTCCAAAATTGCCAGCAACGGGAAAGAATGCCGTAGTGACAGACCGCCGTGTTTTTCAGAGCTACTCGTATCAGGTATATAGCAAGGATATTGACACCTTATGCATGTGCTACAGTTTCTGCATTAAGTTGATGTGTATACATAATACATAATGTATCTGTGCATGAAAATGGACATGTACCTGTACATGAATCTGTATCTGATTGCAAAAACAGATATCGAGTGATTGCCATGGATTGCCATATATATATATATATATATATATATATATATATATATATATATATNTATATATATATATATATNTATATATATATATACTATATATATNTATATATATATATATATATATATATATATATATATAT